GAAACACAGGAAGGAAGGCTGCACTGCGGAGGGTAGCTGCTGAGCAGCACTGGAAGCAGGCTGATTACACTCCAGTTTCTTTTCTCTTACCCTGCAGAGAAAACATGCTCCTTTACGTGCTCACACAGTCCTGCAAAGCTGCTACCCCACACAGTGAGGGTGCCATCTCTTAACCTTATATTCTGCTTCCCTTACCCTGAATACATCTTTTCTTCTATCCCCAGGGTCCTAAAATAGATTCCCTCAAGGATATAACAAAAGCAATTCTAGGACTTATTCAAACTTCTGATGCTGAGGGAATGAAAATAGCCCTTCTGCCCATTCTCAGAGAGTTCCCTGATCTAAGGTAAGATGTTTTACTCATTTGATTTATGTAGTTTCTTACATGATTACTTGCTATCAGAACGCCCATAGCAGTATTAGTCCTGTGACATTTTCTCTTTGCACGGTGCTGGCCCAAGCTGAGTGAGGCAAAATGCTTACTGTTCAATGTACTGAATCTTCCTATTAGCAGATGTGGATTTACATGGTTATAGCTTTGCCAGACTTTAACCAGTGAAATTGAGATGTCCCGTCCATAAAGGTGGAGGATGGAAGAAATATCTGTCAAGAAAGTAGGGATGCTATGGAAAAATACTACCTGAATGGGCAGTTTACAGGCTGCACTGGTGCATTTTACAGCCCAGGCACAGGGGGGCCAAATGGAGCTTTCAAGAGCATCCTTAGTTTAGGCATTTCTTAACTTGCAAGCACTTGGCTCTTGGCTTTAATACTTCACCAGTCCTTTGAATGTAGCTCTTCCCAGTATAAGTGTTTCCATATAACCCTAGGTATATTCAGGAAGACGTACACACTTCTATTTCTCACAGGAAGCTGTTAACCGAAATGGAAGTCAACTATTATTTAGGAAAATGATATTTTAGCCATCTACATTTGTTCCAGAATCTGCTGTTTATTACTGCCATCTTTGCTCTGAAGTCTTGTGCTAGTGACTGTATTTTTTCAAGTTAACATGATTACACTGTAGACCTCTCTGTCACAGGATGTTGTGAAGGCCAAAAGCATGAATAGCTTCAAATGGGGACCAGATCATTTGTGGTAGATAATTGTCTCAGTGGCTGTTCAACATGACAGTTCTGATATAACCTCCAGCTAAGGAAGTCACTAAACTGCAGACTACCAGAAGCCAAAAAAAAAAAAGACAAAGGAAGATCATGTTATGCCTGCCCTAGTTCCTATGTGCTTTCCCTAAGCATTTGGTACTTCTGAAGACACAGTACTGAGCTAAAAAGATGTTTATCTGATACGGTGTAGCAGTTCGTATGCTCTTACTTTGCATATATATACGTGCAAGGGAAATACTCAGAAAAATGTCATTTTGATGTAGATCTCAGAGGAGATTTGAGTGGATGCACCAGTTTTGATTTCAATAGATTCCCAAATGCTTAAAGCTATGTTTGGCTTGGATACATTTGCCCTCTTTGTCAAACAGACTAATAAGCCATGGCCCTACTCAGCAAAGCAATGCTGTGTAGAGCTAAAAGCTTGTAACCTTCCAGATAAGCAAGAAGTAACTCCATCTGAGGGCAGAAAAGATACCAAAAATGCTGTCAAACGATTAAAGGTAGAGTCCTCCCAAAAACCAGCATGAGAGATGCAGATCTTTTTCTAGGAGAGAACTTGGAGAGCTGAAGATTTCCGTGGCTTTACTGGGATGCTGTGTGCACTGGGGCCCATTAGTTTGGTTATATCACACACTGTACACACAGCCCTTGGATACAGCCTCCTTGTTGTTAGGTGGCCAAAGGGTGTCGAAAAGCAGTTCGACAGCTTCCAGACTTTGGTTTGGCCCAGCAAAACTGGGTCCTAGAAAGCAAGCTTTTTTTCTTCCACTCTTCCACTGATGTACCTACCGTCTGATCCTTTTGGAAAGGAAAGAACATCTGAGCGTTGTACTGGACCTCAAAGACTCGCTCAGCCGAGAAGACAGAGCGGCTCTCTTGAATATATTTCATGATAATTGTGGGGAAACAGAGACAAACTTGCTTTTTGGAGATATAGAAGTAAAGCCTAGGACATATGGACTCTGTGGCTGCTTCTGCTGTTAGCAAAGGTAGGTGTGTGGGCGCGTGTGCCTGTGTGCAACACATGTACGTGCACAGGGAGGCACAGGCAGAGGCAGCTGGGGTGACATGACTGCAACATCACCTCCCGGAATCCATCATAGCAATACGCGCTGGTTATAATTTGCTCTCTCTGCCTGCAAGTTTCCACATCATGAAGCACCACGTTGGAGGCAGCGCAGGCACCGCATGGTGACATGTGCCAGGCAGGGAACAGCAGGAACACAGGACAGACCGGGCTCATCCTTCCTGTTCTTCGCCCTTTTGGGGACTGCAGCAGCAAGGCCTTTCCATGCTCCTCCTTCCTCCCGGTGTGTTGGCCTCTGCACTCATGTGCCAGGTCTCCTCGATGAGCGTGGGTGCTTCCAGCCAGGGGGTTTCTCCCTGGTGGTTCCCCTGCTCGTGTCCCTGGCGCAGGGTATGCCTGCCCTGCTGCTGCCCCTGTCCCTGAGAGCTGGATTAATTAAACTGGGGCCAGGTGACTGTGCCATGCTGCAGGCCCCACAGCCAAACGTGCCACCTCCAGTCCGGGAGCAGCAGCCAGAGGCACAAGAGGGAGAAGAGGGATGACCACCACACTGATGTCTTAAATTGCCTCAGTGTGAATTGCCAGGGCTCATCTGGGGCACCTGTAATCTCTTCTAGCTGGTCTTTTCCTACCTCCTTCATACCATGGCATATTACAGCCCAGTTCACAGATTCGTAGGCCTCCGAATCACGGGGCGCCTTTGTAGGCTGTTACGTCAGTCCATTGAGTTTCCCAGGTGATTCCTTCACGTTCACAAATTGCTTTTTTTTTTTTTTTTAATTTAAGCTGCAGCAGATCTTGAAACTAAGCAGGGCCTCATGGTTTAAAAATACCTCTTGGTGGAGAACATATAGCTGTTTGCCTCACTTGAAATAATCTGCAGCTTCTTTTTAGTCTGAATTTCTCCAGCCCCCGTTCATAGCCAGATAATTTTGTTTTATCTTTGCTAGGCCAGAGCCCTCTGCTATCAAAATATCTCTGTTAATGTTTACAGACTGACATCAGCCACCTCTTAACTTTTGTTGGATACACTGAGTAGACTGAGCATCTCAGGTTAAAAATCATAGTCCCTTTCCTCCTCCTCCTCTGCTCTCCAGTGTCACCATTTATTTATAGTTCCCCATGTTCGCAGATCAGAGATGAGTTACGCAGAGGTGTGACCTGGGGCCTCCAGGCACAAGCAGGCAGCAGGTTACCCTGTTAGCAGGGAGAGAAAGCAATTAGAGAAACAATTAATGAGCAAGTAAACTTTCCCTGCTTAATGAGAACAGATTCTGATGTAATGAACTGGCTATCAGTTACCCACTTTCATACCCTCCTTTAAAGAAATTACCTATGGCACCACCTTTGCTTTAGGAAAAATATTCAGGAAAATGTTTTTAAAAGAACGTAAGTCACTTAGCCTCCGAGCTGCTGAAATCCCCTTGGGCAAACGGGCTTCCCAGGTCTCAGAAGTCCTGGCTGGGTCTCCGCTGCAGCGAAAGCATCTGTGCAGCCCAGATCGGTAATTTTAACCAGGCTCCCAGGTAGCACGAACAGTGAAATCAGTTATAGCACATGCTCATGGGAAGGTCACCTTCCTCTTGCCATCCCACCCGCTCAGTTTTGTGCGATGCTGTGTCCCTTCTGTATGCAGAGGCGGGAGATCTTCGGAAAAGTGTTACCTCTGGTTGTTGTAAGCGTCAGCACCAACTGACCTCCCAGATGAGGAGTGAGCAGGTTTGACTAGCGTGGGCAGAGAGTAGCCTGGATGCTGCAGATGGCCCTGAGCCCGTGCACCGCATAACCCCGAGCAGCCCACAAACTCCTTACCGCAGAGAAATGTTGGTACAGCTTCATTCAAGAAGCTCTGTGTAGGAGGGATATTTCTGCTGCTTGACTCTTGCACGTGTGCTGATTAGTGCTATTTACTTATGCAAATTTTTTCTTCCTTTCACTCAGGTCTGCTGTGAGAAAGACGAGGGCTGTCTGCCCGTGGCAATCACAGCTCCTTGCGAGTGTCCGGGACCGGTGCAGTCAGAGGCACGAAGAAGCTGGCCAGCCGCAGAAGACAAAATTCCCACATTTTTTCAAGAAACTCGTGAGGCCCAAATCCGAGTCGTCCATGCAGAGGCTGGGTGGTGCATGACTAGGTCATGGCAGAGAGACATTCCTGCAAAATTTCCTAGAGACTGCTGAGTCCCGGTGGTCATTCCCAGGATGATGTGGCATAGTGCTGTGTGGAGGGGGAAGCCCCCAGATGTCCCACTGTTTCCCTCCCTTGTTCCACACGCAACTTCGGATGTCACTAGGGACTGCACCTCCGTGTCCCCCGCTGGCCTGGGTCCGGCCCCGTCACCTCACTCCTGGTGCCCGCCCGGGAGCCGTGCAGAGAGCTGCCCCCTTGCCTCGCTCCCCACACCCAGAGGCAGCGGCCGGCGGCGGGGGCAGCCTGCAGCGCAGAAATGAGCTGCTCCCGATGTCGCATTGAGGCCGCGAGCCCCCCGAGCGGGAGCGGGGACAGTGGGAAGGAGGCAGTGAAAGGTACTGTTGGCCCCAGCCTCCGGGCAAGGCCGGCGCTGTTTTCGGATGTAAGTAGGCAGTTCCTCTGGAGAAAACACTAACCTTTCTTCCCAGCTATCTACGGCTTGGTCGCAGCCTCCGAGCTGGATTTGGTTCAAGGCCCTGGTTTGCAATTGCACTGATATAAGTCGTTACTGTTCGGCTCCTCTCTGCTGTGTAAACAAGCTAACGGCGCGGAAAAGCACTGCTGCCTCCGGCGCTCAGGTTTTCCCGAGCAGCCACCCCTGCTCGGACGTGCTCTCCGCACCTCATCTCCTGGCGCTTAAACAGACTCTTACTGAACAAGAAAAGGGAAAATTTGTGAAGAACCTGTAAGTGCGCCAGGCTGTGGGCACGGCCAGTCCTGAGACCCGGGGAAAGCTGGGCAGGGGCAGGAACGGGTTGACAATTGCCATTATTTGCACTTCCGGCACGATGCTGGGCACGTGCCTGAGTCACCCCGAGCCGGGAGCCAGCGGGCTGTTTTTAATCACCAGGAAGCACTCTGCGGGCTTTGGGCTCCTCAGGAGGCTTCGGCATCGCCAAAATCCATCGCTCGGATCAG